CAAAGCTGCCTGTGCTAAATGGCACCCAGATGCTCAGGTGAGCTGACTCAGACCAGTTTCGAGGCTGATCTTCATCTTTGTGTACAGCTTTAGTTCTGGTCCAAATGAATTTGACTTCTCTTAACCTAGAGGAGGAGATGCACGCCTTCCCCCAAGGCAGACTTGCACTGCATTCTTGTATAGGCCAGGAAAAGAAATATATCTTTGTTTAATTTAGTGTGACTTGATTGTTGACTCAATTGCAGGTCAGCAGCATACCCAGGAAAGTCATATAAATCTTTTTCTCTGCCGTGTGGGGGAGAAAACAGATGGACACTAGAGTATATTAATGTTCATTCTCCTTGGGAATCAATAGGAATCTATATTTTATAAATGGGTCTACTAAACACAAGAGAAAATTCATGAAGCAGAGATAGAAAGAGGGAGAGAATGAAAAGCCAGCTAATTCCTTTCAAACTACTGATTATTATCAGCATCCTTGAGATGTATGTCCATTGAAGGCCCGGTACGGCAGAAGGCAATGATTCTGCATTTATTTTTTTGCCTGGACTGATTGCATTAGCTATGCAGAAACATCAGGCCTGATCCTGTTATTTCTGGAGTACCCTCAGCTCTAAATGACATTTATCACCTCTAGGTACAAAGCTGCTGTTTCTTATTCAGCACCTATTAATAGCAAAGGGAATCTTTGCTGCCTTCAGTAGGAACGGGAACAGGTCTGTGATGTTAATAAGCAATTAAATGCAGCCTAAATAGATGCACGGGAAAAGGAGCATGGAGTAGGGAAGAAAAGAAAGGAGGACAATGAGGATTGTTTTACAGGTAACTTTGGGGTGAGATTTGGTGGGATTTAATGGGAATAGGATTAGGGAGGTGCAGGTGAATGTTCAAGTTGAAGGGAAGTTCGTATGGAAGAGAGGGAAAAAATAGATGTCAGATTTCTGGGAGAAGAAGAGGAGTGATGAAAAAGAAGCAGAAGAATGAGAGGTGAAGGGGAGGGGAATGGGAAGTTTAAAGACAGAGCAGGCAGCAAACAAAGAGGCAGAAGCCCCTGACTGTTACTGGTGTAGCTGTTGGCCACCAGCTGATGGACGAAGTGAGGAGGGGAAAAAAAAAGCAGAGAGTCATTGTGTATAAAGCCATAGCTCAATTTCCATAAAGAAATAGAATTAGAGAGCGATAGAAAGGAGAAATATTAGCCTATAACACCACGTGCTTAATCAAAAACCCAGCCTTGCACAATGACAGCAGACGTCAGTAATTGCCAAAACACCAGCTTTATTTATGGACGTGGGGGAGAGAGGGATGCGCGCCGCACAAATTCCAATTAAGGCCAAAGCACCCAGCTCAGGGGGAGCTGCTCGCTCATTTGCAGTGGCGGAAGCTCCGTAACCTTCATAGTCCCAGTGGCTCGCCTGAGATTATTAGGAAATAACACACCAATATTGCTTGCAGACCCTTCCTTTGCCAGGAGGCAGCAAAGGAGGTGGCTCGGAGATCCAAAACTGACACATCCAGCGTGAGGCTGGGGACCTGAAGCTGGAGCCGGCTGATTTTTGTCAGCCTGCTTTAAAGGCAGGAGCAGCTCCTTAAGTCTGCCTTTGGGTTTCGTGTGTCTAGCAAGGACTGGCGGCAGCTGATGTCTCTAAGAAATACTGTAAATCCCCAGTGACACAGCAGCAGAAGGCTCGGTCTGACCTTCCGAGCAGTTATTGGGCTGCACCAACACAAATACCACCCAGGACAAATAATTTTGTGTACAGCACCAGAGGAGCATTCGTTAGGCTGAGTCCCGCAGCGCATTTGCACTTCTGCTGGGGATCACTGGAAGAATCTATTACCGTGTGCGTGGTAATGGATGGGTTTAATCAGGGACTGGGACTTTGTGTTTCACGTTTCCTCCCAGTGTAGCCCATTAGTAATCCTCATTAATTGCAAAGGCCAGGGTGATGGCAGACATGCAAAAAAAGCACTCTCTGTGTCTGCCACCAGCCCGGAAAGTTTGCGAGGGCAATGCTATCGTTCTCCGTGCATCAGTTTACTCATCTGTGTTAAACTCACTGAGAATGATGGCAAAGACCACTAGGGCAGGGTTCTGGCCTGCACCCCAAAGGCACAGGGGGAGGCCAGGGCTGAGCTGCTGGAGCCCGGCGGGTTTGGGAACCGTGGGCTTCGGTAGGGGGTCTCAGCCAGGGGAGCCGACTGCCTTGGAGATAGCAGGTAAATCTCCTCTTAAAGTGATCCAAGTCTTTAATCATTATCCTGAAACCACAAAGCAGCTCCAGACACACACCAGCCTCGTTGAAAGACTTGTCAGGACTGAAACGGTAATTCACAAATTCACTAAAATTCGCTGCTCCACTGAGCAATGTGACAGCTCTGCCGACCGCAGTAACATTTCTATTCAAACTGGCTTTGGTGCCGAAGCTATAAATATCCCCGCAATATTTCCTGCTTCAGAACATAAAGACAGCTTTACAGTGCTGATAAAATAGAAATTACTTTCTCTCTGAGGTCTAGCTGGAATTTTAATGTCTGTTTTGCAATAAAGCAGCTCCTACACAATTCGATTTGAGGGAAAGAAAACAAACGGTCTAATTTAGTTACAGTAATGACTCCTCTTGTATTGTTGGCCGTAGCCAAATCTGTGGTTGCAGGGTTGTTAAAGTTTGTAGTGGCGAACGCAGTGATGATTTTTATAGTAATATGAATTTTTTGTCTTTAAAATATACATCGTGCTGCTTAATTACAGGTATGGAACAACAAGGACCCAGAAAGAAAAAGGTCATTAAAGTTTACAACCTCTAATAGCGTTTCTGTAAAAATTACTTGTCACAGCTGTAAAGCTGGTGACCAACGATGACACAGATTAAAAAGGGTTCTTGAATTGGGAAGAGAAATTGCAACTACTGGACTCATCAATGTTGCCTTTAATTATTCCATAAATGTCACCCTCGCTCTGGTTAGCTCCTTCAAAGGGGAAGGAAAAAAAAAACAAAAGCTCATTTCCTACGGTCACCGAGTTCTGCTTTCCATTTCTAGGATGGAAATGGCAGGGTGGGGAGGAGCCCAAGAACAATTAAGGAGGGGAGCAAAAAATAAACTATTCTTCATTTGCATTGCGGGCACGTGGCACAGGCAGACAGTCTCGGAGCGCGGGTGCTGGTAAATATTTTAAATATTTCAAACACTAAGGAGAGTCGGGCTCGCTGAGCTGGCATTATGCAGCTGGGGAAGGAGCCCCGGAGGCTCCTGAATCCCGGGATGCTGCCGCAAAGCAGCAGGATGGGAACGCCGGTTCCCAAGGCATGGGGATAGAAGGACTCAGTTCATTTGGAAAAGATTCTGGCAGCGTTGCCAAAAATTCACCAGCATCCGTCGATGGGACCAACGGAGCAAGTCCCTCCCCTGTGGCCTCCAGCACGTCCATGTCCTGCATGGGACAAACACGGTGCTGGAGACAGGAACAGTGCCCAGAGTTTGTTTCTCTTTCCCTCTCTGCTGGGTTGAGTTGTTTATAGCACACTTGCAGGGCTGTACAATAAATAATAACTACTTAGAATCTTTTAAAAGATACATAAGTTTATTTCTTTTCATAAATGTAAGCTTAAGTTAATGAAAGGCTCGTTGTTTGTATTTCAATGACAAAGCAGCAGTAGAACAGCTGTGTGGGACTCCAGCGAAATGAATTGTGAGTGTTATACTCCCTATTTCTTTTTCAAGAATTAGAATCTATAGTGCAGCAATGAATACTGATTTATAGATTATTTTTTTTAATACCCATGCATATTTTTTATTTCAAAAGGGAATGTGTGATGATGGCTTCCAGTGTTTTAGAATAATATTTTATCGGACAATCTCTATGGAATTCTGTTTCACATACTGAAAATTGTGGTATCATGTAGCAGGGAAAATTAATAAGATTTTAGGAAAACATGTTTAGTGGGGTTCTGTTACTGAGGACTTTACCAAAACCCAACATGTAATTGAGGAAAGAACAACATAAATCATGTACAGCTCCTTACAGAAGGGATTTTAGGCGTAAGGGGACTTGCTGATTGCTATGTCGTGTAGACGTAATGTAGGTTTGTGCTCTGGAATGTTTTAAGTAATCCAAACTAATATTAAACTCAGAAAACAGCAGCATTTTTCTGTTGAGGCAATACCATGAAAAATATGGCATGGGTGTTATTTTACAGGGAAAAAGCTTTTGTTCTAGAGGATAAATGAGATTATTAGATTCCTTTGGAGTAGCGACCCTACTTCGACTCTCAGCCTCAAACAGGTTTTAGAACTGAAACCAACGGCTTTCAGCCCTTGGGCTGCTTCCTGGGGACCCATGAAAGTTAACTAAAAGCAACCAGATGACTGTAAGCAGATTTAAATCGTAGGCAGCTGAACCCCCACTGCAAAAAGTTTTAAAATCTGCAAATCAAAAAGGTTGTCAGTAAGGATAACGACACCTAAGAGGCTGATGGAGAGCAGAGATCCGACACTGAAAGCCGATGTTCCTTTTCAAGGTCACCCCAAATAATGTTAGAATCTGACCCTAGCCGGCTAAACACAAGCATGCCTGAATGTTATAGCAGGCCTTAAAAAGGAAGGAAAACACAGCACACGTCTTCAAAGTTTGTCTTGGCCATGGCACGGCAAACAGCTGTATTGCTCGTAAGCAAGTGAGGTAAAGGCATCGTAGCGTACCCACGGAGGAGGACACAATCCTGGTGTTTCTTCCAGTTCTCCTTAATATGGATGTTAAAGGCTATCCAGCCAAAATTGCATTTAGATTACATTACATTATACAGTAAGTGGCAAATCATCACTGCTTCCTTTGACATTCAGTGTAATAACATTAACCATGATGAATTTCCTTTTACTATTCATGTGGCCGCCATACATTATTTCAGCTGGATTCCATTGTAATGTAGCATTAATTAATGTCTGCTGCTTATCGAGTGTTTCCCATTTCTACCTTCAATCCCTCTGCTTAATTCTGGAAGAACTGCACAGAGAAATGCTGCAAAGGACGTTCCCAGTGCCGGGCGATCTTCAGAGGCCGCAAGAAGTCAGATTACATTCCTGTTGCCCCGTCTCCTCTCATATAAATACTGCTTCTTCCAAAGGAAGCAATAAACTAATATTTGTTGTAAACTAAGCAGGAGCTGAGGCCATTTTCAAGAGCAGTCATGAAGAGGAGAGCAGCTCTGTACGAGTGACAGTTTTCTTAGTAAGTCCCTCTCTGTGACCTCCCGAGCTCAGCTCCCCCTCCATGCCCCACTCTGAGCTGCCGGGGAGCAGCGTGCGGCCAAAAAGCCGTGATGAATTTCCTCCCTGCAGTTTAATGCCAGGCAAACCAAAGCCCTGTTGATCAGGGTTCTCCTTTCCACCTGTAATATCTGCAAGAAGCCCTGTCCTCCCTGTAGTATGTTGGTTTTAGCTTAATTTACTGTATTTAATTAGTTTTTGGTCCTCTGACCCTTCCTACCACAAGGTGTCATCCTTCCGACAGGTAGGGACAAGGACCTTGTCACAGTGTCTGGCTCCTGCTCTGGGAATCCCGAGCCCGACTTCATATTTCTGTCATTTCGCCCAGCCTTGAAGGACCTCTGCAGTCATTCTAGAGCGATTTATGGCAGCAGCTGGTCTCCAGAAAAGAAAACCGTTTTATCCCAGCAGCTGATTTCCTGCAAGGTTTGAGAGCTCAGGACACAACGCGAGAGGATTCTCTGGCCAGAGAAACAATGGGTTCTTTACAGCCACCAGTGTAAGAGCTAAGCCATGCAAATGGATCTAATAAGCATAATTTAAACCCATGGTTTTCTTTTTATAGCACTTTCATATTCGGTGTTTTATATTCCAATTTTCCACCTTTTAGTCTTGCTTCTTTCTCTTTTGCTGCAAAACCCTATCTCAAATGGGAGGGCAATTACTAGGCAAGCATGTAGTTCTTTAATTGAAACACTTATAGGTGTACACTTAAAAACTATAAAGACTTTTTATGGAATAGCAATGCCTTAATAGGCTCTTGTGTATGTACATTGTAATCTAATTCTGTGTTCTTTCAGCATTGCTGGGGGAAGCTGTTAATTTATGGCTACAATGAACAATAAAGCAATAATAGTAATCTAAAGGTGCAATATCCATTGTTTAGGGGGCATTTACGGTTATGTATTAAAACTATAAATACATCAAGATGCTGCAGCACTGATCTATACAAAATGAAAGATAAGATCTCTCCACTTGGAAATGTGCTTTTTTCAGCAGAAAAACAGCCACATGCTTATGGTTAACATCAAATCCCAAAGCTCAGCATGAATGGTCAGCAGAGGCTACTGCGGAGGTCTGATGGGAACTTAACTGATATTCCACACCCCCTCTCCCCCCAGTAATTTAATTTGTTACCATGTGTGCAAAGGAGAAAAGCAAGAGGTAATCTTATTTTAGTAATTAGCCTAATTCATATGTGTCGGTAGCTACCTAAGTCTGGTCCTCGCCGTTGTTGGTATGAAAAGCCCTGTTGCTGTTGTGATTGAGCCCAACGCATCCCCTGCCCTGCAGACTGCAGGTGATTGCAGCCAAGTGTCTCTCACACAGGAGGAATGAGAATTTTTTCTGCAGGGATTTACCTGCACAGCTGTAACCCCCCCCCCCTTCTCTTTAATGCTGTTGAATGGGGACTGGAACAGCCAGACGAGGTGCGTGCAGTGGGGTGCTGCGGGCTGTGCTTCCCTGCCCAGCAGTGGGAGAAGGCTCCAAGCACCTGATGTGCAGCACCCTCGTGCCCTGTCCTGCTTTGCTGCAGGAGCTGGGGGCCAGAAGCCTTTCCTAGGACACTGGCTGCCGGGCTGAGTAAAACACATCTCCTTAAACAAGCCGGAATAAGGCAGGGTGACAGGAAGGGCTAATTACCTTGTCTGAGCCAGGTCTTTGGGCAGACACGGAGACGTTTCAGAAATCCGAGGGGCTTTGTTGTGTGATGACTGGGAGAAGAATGGAGGGCAGAGCTCCTGACCTTGCAGACCGGCAGCAGTTCCTCGGCAGAGGCTGGCAGGGTGCGATCCTCCACCAGACTGAGCACCCTTCCTCTCGCCTGGCCGCGTGCGTCCCCATGGCTGGGAGCTGCTGCTCCTGTCCCCTCCCTGGGCAAGGCTCCAGCACAGCCGGTGGCCCGGCTGGAATAAGCACTGAGACGTGCTGATGCTTATCTAGCTGCTCTGCAGGGATGGATGGAGAAGCCACCGGGCTGGCTAGCTCGTGAAATTAGGCTACAAGGTGTTCTGGCTTCAGAGTGGAAAGGGAAGGAGAGAGGAAAGAGATGAACAGAGAAAAATGCCAGAGAAAGTGGCCATTATATGTCATTCATTATGTGGCGAACATAGGTTTAATCTTTTTCAGCCCATTGAAGAGCCTGCTAACATTTCTCAAAGTTAATTACTCCGTTTCTTTTGGAAAGATCAGCCTCGGCTCATTCAGCAATTGAGCGGATCAATATTCTTAAATGTATGTGGGGTTTTCTTTTCCAAAAGGTGTATAGAGGCTTGTTCTATTTGGTTCTACCATCTTTAAAATGTTAAAATTTAAATTTTTAAAAAAAAATCTTTAAAATGTTAAAATGCAAGAAGGATACAGATACCTGAACTCCTCTCTTAGAGACTGAGATTTAACTGGCTCGGAGTTTCTGTTTTCATCCTTGTAAAAATGAGGCGTGTAACACATGCTCGTTTCAAGTAAAGGCTGCGTAAGAACAGATTGATTTAATATTCAAACAGTGCTTTGAGACCTTCCAGAACAAAACTGTTTAAGAGCAAAACTGTACCGTCATCATTTTTTCCCTCCCCTGGTGCCTGGCACCAGCCTCTCTGGTGAGGCTGTGAGTTGTCCCAGGAACCAAGCACTCGGGTTGAATTGATAAGCTGCGGCACAAAAAGGTCCAAAGGAATTAAGCCACTTTAATAAACACACAGAAAGCCTGCATGTTTTCTGGTGACTTTGTAGTTATTCTGGTGTTTTCCCCTTTCACAAGCCTCAATGCCTGTATCCATGACTGGTTTCAATCCTTCCTTGGAAAGGCCGGTGACAGAAAGGCCCTTGTGCCTCCCTCCCAGACCATGCCGATCCGTTCCCATAATTTTATCAGCAACCAGCTGCTTGGAACAAGCCTTGCCAACTCAGCAACTCCGTCTACTCTTCCCTTGAGGAAACCATTCACCTTATCACCAAAGAGAGACGGGGAAAAAAAATTCCATCTGTTACAGCTCAGAGCTAGAAGCTTCATAATTGCATGGGTACACAGGCTGCATATCAATTTTTTTTTGTTTTAGGAAGCACTTGGGGAGCATTCATTCTCCTTTTATTGTTGTTCTCTCCCTTGCAAGTGACCGTATTTCATCTCCTCCGGGATACAAGGCAAGGATTTTGGAGCAAATTTGTGGCTTAATGATGCCGGGGAGGTGTTTAGAACCACAAATGCACCCTGGAAAATCTGTGTGCTCTCCCGCTGTGCGAGCTGCTGGACCCAGTGCAGCGTCCTGCAGACAGCCCCGTTTGCCTGGGCTGGCCGGGGTGTGCAGCCTCCACCAGCACTACCTAGAAATTAACTTCACTGGGGCAACAGGAAGGTACAAAGTTATCCCAGAACTTACGTCTTTTCCAGCCTAGAATCCACTGAAAAATGGATGCGAAAAATAAGTATTTTATTGGAATCTTTTTTAATATTGGCCAAGTTTGTTTAAAATGTTGCTTTACAGAAGGGCCTTGAAAGAGAATATTACGAACTGACTTCCGTACAAAGTCTCTTTGGATAGCAACATCTTTCTTGGGCTGTCCTGGGTTCGTGGCACTTTTTGGGGTGCAGCCTGACCCCCCCGGGGCTATCCACTCACATGGGGGCTGCTGGGCAGGGGGTGGCAGCTTCGGCTCCAGGAGGAGCTGCATGGCTCTGGTCCTCCCGAGCTCTCCTATAAGGGCAGAGAGCTCCCCTACAGGGAATTCCTTCACAAAAAAAACCTTTTTGAGTACTGTCTGAACCCTGTTTTGCAGTGGGATGTGTGTGGGGGTGAGCTTTGTGCTTGTATTTTTGTGCAGGTCCAACGAACAGATGCAGTTTCTAAGGATAACTGCACAGGTTCACGGAATCATCCGCCTGGTTTCGAAACGCGATGGTCTCAGGTGATTAGGCCAAGACACCCATTAGGCTGTGCTACAGATGTATTCCTAAGGTGCCTTGAGGGTCTCCACCCTGTCTTTGAAACCTGGAGGACGGCCGGTCCCCTGGGACAGGCGCTTGCTTTGTCTGAAGGTACAAGTCGTGTTGCAGGGTTTGAAAAACGTGCCTCGCGGTGACAGACTTCTGGAGATCAATCTGATTAGCTTATCAAAGGGAAGATTAGAAAGCAACCTGATCATGCTGTTTAAATATGTTCACAGAGAGAAAGAACGAGGTACAAAGTATTTTTTAATCTAGCAGAGAAATGTATGACAGGAGCCCGGTGTCTGGAAGCAGGAGCCAAACCAACCAAGAAAGGCAGATTAAAGAAAAAAAAAAAAGTTCAAATGCTTAATCAAGAAAAAATGCAGGAGCTTTGTGTGAATCTTTGGGCATCACCGTTAGAATAACTCCTCCTAAACACAATTTACAAAGAGGTAGTTTTGCAAGAGTCCTTGCGAAAAGGGTTTGGGCCAAATGTCTGTGTCCTCCCTCTGCTGCTGGCTTTCATTTCTTCTGTTTCGTTCAGCCCTCAAATTGAATAGCGAGTGGTTCAGCTTTATTTGTTTTTACTGCTGCCAAAAGGGAAAAAAAAGTCACAGAGCAAACAGTGGGATGTTTGCAACCTCCTTGCATTAGGCAGATTGAATAAACTGGCTCACAGTTGATTGTTTTTCTTCAGATCAGTCGGTGCCACTGCCTTTTTATTTATTTGATTTTATGTATGTATTTCTGGGGCTTTTGTTTCGTCTGGGATGTTTTGCAATCATGACTTCTGGTGAGGGAGATAGGATGACAAACAGCACTTCGATTCCTAAACATCAGAGGAGAGTTTACAGAATACTGATTGTTGGGATCACGAAAAAGCAGGATGAGTGAGCGTTGTTCGGTCGGGGAACACACAGCCATTAATTATAAATAACGCCGAGCCTAATTCTCTCGTCTCCTTGTGCCACGTTAAATCACCACATCAGACACATCAGGGGCATGAAGCCAGTGCGGGTGCTCAGGGCTGGGGCTGCCCCTTCCCTGCCCGGGGGGACGAGGAGCCCTGCGCCCTGCAGCCGGCGGCTGTGGTCGCCAGCTGAGGAGCTGCTCGATATCCAACAAGCGTCTCCGCACAGTTCAGCACTTTCTAAGACTCCATCTTGTGCCCACTGACAGCAAAAGCAAGTTTTCTGTTAATTTCATTGCTGTGGGATCCTCCGTGCCCCAGCCAGGCATCCAGGCTCGGATGGTTTTACCTCCGTCGGGTCTGGAATTTGCTGAAGGATGCAGAAGGAGCACAACAAAGGGCCTGCAGCTTGCAGCGGGCTGCCTCTCTGAATAAGTCTGGCACAGCCGTGGTGTCGCTAATACTTACATCTTTTTGCTTTTTATTTTTTTCCCCCTTCTTTCAGCGTTATTAGCTCTTTGGGTACATGGCAAAACAAGCAGGGCGGGCAGAGCACATGCGGTTACTGCGCGGTGTCAGGCCGGTGCCATCTCCATGAATGGTGCTTCCAAACCCCGCTTTCCTCCCCAATTTTCTTAGACCGTGAAACATCTTGGAGTCGTGTGGCATAGCGGATCAGAAGGACTATTAAAAATTGAGGGTTTTCTTGTCATGCTTCACAAATGCAAGCAGGTTGTGGTTATTTCCTTTATGCGAGGGCACACTAATTGCAAGAACGCTCATTAATTATGTATGATGAGCACAGTTCGGTTGCCAAAAAAAATATTTTTGGATATTGTTAACCAGAATTTTACTTTAACTTACTGTCACCGTTATTTTGCACATTGTGGTGCTTTAATGAACATATGGCACTACATTAGCTAATGCAAAACCCTCTCTTCTTAAACTAGAGAAGTTATTTTTCCGCTAGGTACAGTGGATATTATTTACATTGCGCGTGACACCGCTAAATATTTAAATGTAT